TTCTCAGTTTCAAAAAAGAAAACCCAGTAAACTCTTTGCAATTACTACTAGAATTAATAAAGTAAATAACCAGGTCCATGTAACATTTTCTTCCCTTAAGTAGCCTCAATACTTAGCCAACTCATCCTCAAATTCTACATTTGCCATACATAAGATAAATAGGTTTCAGTAACAAGAAAAGTCGGTACTTAAATAGAAAAGATGAGGTCTCTGCATGTGGTGAGACTATTTTCTCATTTTAAACCCATGTTAAAATATCAACTTTACTGTTATGCTAAAAAATAAATAAATAATAGTCCATTATCTTTCTTCACCAGCCTATGTGTTCAAAATATTTTCTTATCCGCAACCCATTAGGGCCCATTACCCATGTTACTTACTTTATCCTCACTCATCCTATTAAGGACCACATTTTATTTAAATAAGTTTTCAAGTTCACATCACAGCTAAAGATTAAGGGACGAGAAAATGACCGCATTTGACTTTCAAGAACATCGTTATGATATTAAAAGTATTTGTGCTCAAATTTTAGGAGGCATAGAAATGTGGAAAATTAAACACCCGTGGGGATAATCATTACAAACCACTGATGAATGCCACATTGACGGCAAGCTAGCATAACTCTATTTTGCAACAAGAGCTAACCCAGAAGCACTCGGGGCTCTTATAAGATGAGCTGAGGTTGAAATTTTGTTAGCTTTCACTGTCAGCTGGGATGCCAACACAAAATTCTTCTTCCACCGCCATCATTAATGTTGTCAAGCATATCCAGTTGCTAGGCATCCTTGAAAATTGCAGTTGGACTTATCTGTTAAACAATGAAAAATCTTGAGATTTTTCCTTCTCAATAAGTTCAGCAGACCAAGAAAATACAAGCACGGAAATGAGAAAGATTACAAATATATATATATATATATATGGAGACCACAACATCCTCACTACAGCACGTCACTTCTCACTCCTATAAAAGTGACTAGCCCAATGAACGAGGCTCTTGCGTCATTATGGGGTCTGGAGATGGCTAAATATACAGTTTTTTTTTCGCATGAAGGGGTTGTTTCTTATTTTGAACTCGTGAGCAAACTAACCGTTGCGTCAAGGTCCACCCTCACTCCTATAACAGTATGCATATTACAACATCTTATCGTAGCTTTCATTATAGGGATTAAACTGTGCAGGGATTTTTTTTTTTTTTTTTGAATAACACAATAAACAAGTATATAGAGGTGATATCTAAAATACAAATATGATGGAAACAGAGAAAATGCTTGGTGAAGGAGGAGAAGAAGACCGATCTTCCAAGATTCAGATAGAGGTAAGGCAGATATACATTCCTGATGATAGTCCTTTTCTGGCCTGTTCTTCTTTCATGCGATAGTGTTATTTATAGACCATGAAACGTGCTAGTTATTAACTAGCAGTTCCTAGTGTGTCTCGCTCCTAACCATGACCACATGGGTAGTCATGACAGACCTAGGAGCCTAAGCGGTCAAATCCTCTTATCGAGCCATGCATTATGTTGCGTCTCCCCCATTTGGGGCATTAAATACTCTTTGTTCTTATTTGGTCGTCGGTTGACCAAGTCTGTTATAGCATTAAATATGATTTTAAGGTTTGCTGTCATAATGTATATATTTCCATCATCTCGTCGATCGGGCCTCGCTGGGAGTGGAGGCACTTCTTTACTTCTCATCCACCAGTCCAAGATCCTTCTAAGTTTCCCAAGGTGAAGTCCCACATAGCTGAGAAAGCCCTACCTTCGTTTCGTGCCAGCTTTGGACCTATGGAGCTATAACAATTTATAGGCGAGCTCTCTAAAGCTCTAATGCCTCAAGGTACCGTGAGGCTCGGAGGAGCCTGTAGGCTGAGCCTTTGAGTCCTAGCGACTTGGCATGTTGCTAGGGTTTGTAATGCTCAAGGTCTGGGTTCTCAAGGCTTATTGGTTTGCTGCGATGTTAGGGTTTGACTCACTCGAGGGCTGGTTTCTCGAGGCTTGTTGACCTGGTGCGCTGCCAGGGTTTGAGGTACTCAATGGTTAAGTCCTCGAGGCTTGATGGCCTGGTGCGATGTCGAGGCTTGGGGTGTTTGAAAGCTAAACCCTCAAGGTTTGGGATGCAGTACTTGACTTTTCAACTTGCCATGAAATCTTAATTAGGGGATTATGTTGACTTTTCAACATGCCATGTCAACACTCGGTAATTGACAGCCACAAACTGCAACAATTCTGTATGCAGCTATTTTGACAGTACTAATCACGTTCAAGGCAGATATATCTATACATATTCATATTTCACTAGCCATGGTTAATCAAGCACTTGAATCTCTTCCATAGATTTTACATATGTACTGTATGGCGGGGATTATATAGTTAATCCAGCACTTGAATGTCCTCTATCAGCAAGGGAAATCATTGTTCTTTTATTGTATTATATTGTTCATATCCAATAAAAATTCCACTTATCCAAGAAAATATATATATATATATATATATAAAATAAAATTTATATTTGAAATAAAAATGAAGCCAGTTCTCATTTTTATTGATCTTCATTCAATAGTAGAGATCTTTTACACATATACCTGACAGCCTGATCAACAGACTCGCATTTGGTTCTGTTTTATCAGATCAACTGCTTTCTCCCCATTGGAAGTCGGATTCGATCTTCATCATTTATTGAGTGGTTAATCTGCATTAGACTGGGTAAAATTTGATGAAATCTGATTTTTTTTCTTTTCCCCCTCCTGATACTGTATCGACAGAAATGCGAGTTACTAATGGATGCCAAAATGCAACTAGAGGAGATAATGATTGAACAACTAGTTGCAACACAGACTAGAACAATGTAGCAACACCTGAAACGTAATGGAAGTTGCAACACAGACTAGAACAATGTAGCAACACCTGAAACGTAATGGAAAGAGGGCAACGAGGAAGATGTTAGATCCCAAGGAAGCCATTGACCAATTGAACTCAAAAAGATCAATAAAAATCGTAGTTTTCAATTATGTTCTTCATTGATGTTGCAATTACCAATAGACCTTATGATAAGTTATAGAAAGCAAGAACCAAGATTTTAATGAAGTTCTAGAAACGTAATCTACTACAAGAATCACTATACTAACATCATAGGGTAGCTTGCTTAATGATTAGTAAGACACGGTTGATAACGGAACCGTATGCTTGGCTTCAATTATTCTGAAAAACCCTAAACAAAAGATAATTAAGGTCTCCTTGCATCTTTTGCAACGTGTTTCATTAGGCCATTTAAGCTAGGAAACCTTATTGGCTTTATGGTATTACGCGCTCTTCTAAACCATTCACCACATGAGAGACTCCAACACATAAACGCTCTCGTATGAAATCTTGCTTAATATAATGTAATAAACAAAATATTATCAATTAATAATAAATTCTTATATTTATTATTTTGTTGAAACAAAAATTCATCTTATTATTCTCAACATCCCCAACTGAATTCCTGATTCAGTCACTGGCCTTGATGTCATATGTCATTCACTAATCTTGATGTCTTATGAGGCATCATTTTTTAAAGTCACAAAAAGAGCTGAACAACATAAGGCTACCTTTAAATTAGAGATTTTATTTTTTATTTTTTATTAGGTAACATTAGAATTGGTCCTAAATCATTCGTATGCTGGTACCCAGGAAAAAAATAAAAATTCATATGCTGGTCTGGTTCATATAATTCATAATACTAATATGTGCAAGAGAGTCAAATACAAACAAAAATAAATAAATTTACAATGGATTTATATATATATATAAAGGAAACTTTTCAGAATTTGTAAAAAACAAGAAGAAAAATAAATAAATAAATGACAATTCATAACTCATGATGTCATACTATATCAAATTGGACAGTGCCATCAATTGGAAGAGAGAAGAGTAGACGGAAGAAATTTTACCTTGAGAAAATCGACGAAACAAGCGTAATGGGCTCCACTTTATTAAGAGAAGTTGATGGCGACACTGCCTCTGATTGAGAGAAAATTCTAGCGTCGACGATAAAACCTCCTCTAAATTCTAACAATGACTAAGATCAAAGAAAAACAAGCGTAATAGGCTCCGCTTTATTAAGAGAAATTGATGGCGACACTGCTTCTGATTGAGAGAAAATTCTAACGCCGACGATAAAACCTCCTCTAATTTCTAACAATGACTAAGATCAAAGAAGACGATTTACCACTTAAGCTGCGAGATGCATACGATGATTGGCGGCCTACATTTTCCTATTACTAATCTCGCTCGCTCTCTCTTTCCCTCTCTCTCTCTCCCCTTCCCCCTCTCTCTTCATTTTCGTTGGACTTTGGTATCCACTTTAGCGGGTACCCAACCCATATCGAAGTTTGATGGTCAACTGGGTTTGGAAGTGGGCTACACCTTAAAAGTCCATGTCAAAACCCATTAGGCTGTTGATATAATATCATACCTAATATTGATAAACTTTCATGATACGGCCCAATAAATTCAGTTGATTTTTCCATTTACAGTGAGAAATGTGTTCCTAACCTCGCAAAACATAACTAATTACCTACTGATTTGATACCTAATTACCTACTGATATCTTAGTATAGTCTATTTAAATGATTCTAAAGCATATATTTATTCACATTTTTAAATTCTAAATTAAAATTGTTGATTCAGCACTCCCAAACAAACTTATTGAAATCGTTCAAGTATTACACTTCACTGAAAAACACTAGCCATACTGGAAGTAGTCAATCTTGTCGCCTCATTGGAATTTTAAAAATAGGATTTGTATTGTTTTGAAATCCCATTTTTATGGGTCAAAGTTCATGAGATGTAAAATTTGACAAATTGTTCTAAAAGCAAATAGAGTTAATTTCTTTTAATACATTAAAAAAAAACTAATTCCAAAAAGTTGACGAGTCTCAATGACAGATAATCACTGATTTTCACACATACCACTTTCTAATCAATTATGTTAACTTTAGACTACAAGCCAAACCCCACCTCAACAGCCACAACAGTGATGAATCCTTAATTGGCCAAATAATGACATGCCAACAATTGGCATTTAAAACTAATACAAGCACTCCTTTTCATTCCACCAAACTTCCTTTCTAATGCACACAACACAACTTGACAGGTTGAAAACAAGTAGGAATCTTCAACTGGACCCAACTTATAAAATCACAAAGAGGCATTTTTTTTTTTTTTTTTAATCACAAACAAAGCTTTTTACATGCAAAGGCCACCATTAAATAAAAATAAAAGAAAATCAAATCAAAAGTTGAAAAAAAGAGAGATTTATATATATATATATATATATATATATATGAGGTTTTGGCCCACAAGAAGAAGCGCGTGACGTGATTATCTGCGTTTCTCTTCGGATCCGACGGCCATCAAACAAATAATTGGTCGTACACGGTCGGCTAATCAAACGGCTCAGATCATATCTTCTCCAACTTCTCCGCTTTCACCACGGGGTTGGCCCTCGCGATTTCCTCTCTCCCAACGGACTTGAAATCGAACGTGCACCCGTGTTGCTCCGGGTACCGGTGGGTCCCACAGAACGTGGTCCCGCACCGGCACTTGAACCCGGTCAATCCGACCTTTTTTCGACACGCGGAACACCGGTTCGGCTGACACACCGGCTGCACCGCCACATCAACCACCGGCGTCCGTCCATCACCGGCGGTTTCCGGCGACTTCACGCCAGAAGAAGACGTCAGGACAACCGCCGGAACGGAGGAGGAAGCGAACAGAGAGTTTTCGACCGCCGATTTGGCCGACTTTGCTTGTTCTTCTTTCATACAATAGTCCCTGTAGCATTTGGAACAGAGATTTAGGGTCGCCGGACTGCCGAAGAATCCGCAGTTGTTGGCGCATAGATGGTGGCCTTCCGGAGCCTGAAATCCGTGTTCTTCAGCCATCTTCTTCCTCTTCTCTTCGATCAATTCTTTATGAAGAAAATAAAATCAAAAATAGATTCAAATCAATATAAAGTTTTTTCAAAGAAATGATATGAACTATTTCGAATTCGAGGAATTGAACAGGAGGAGGAATTGAATGAGCTGATTTTTTTTATTTTTTTTTGTGTGCGTGTGGAGGGGAAGGCGGTGGCTGAGGGAGGATATATGAAACGAATGATGAGAGAGAAAGTTAAGAGAGAGAATAAGGGGACGGGGAAAGGAAGAGCGAAAAGGGACAAAAACCAAAAAAATAATAATATAATAATAAAGAAATAGCAGGCGACAGGCTGTATGATGAGCCAAAAAGGACGTTGGAGTTGAGCCGTCTTTATTTTTCCTGCAAATAGAAAAAGGCCACGAAAATTCATTCACATGAGATAAATGAATTATTACATATAAATGGTAGAAATGATACATATTTATCATTTGGAAGGTTATTATTTTTGTTTTGGGTATGAAAGAATCACTGGATATTATGTGTTTTTGTGTTTATATAAGAGAAAGAAATTATTATATATAAATGATGGTAATAATACATATAGAAATTATTTGAAGGTAATTATTATTACATATAAATAATGGTAATAATACATATTTATCATTTAGAAAGTTATTATTTTTGTTTTGTGAATAAAAGTGATTCTTTTATATTTAAAATAAAAATAATAACTTTTCTAATAATAAATATGTATCAAAAGTCCAAAATAAAAATAATAACTTTTCAAATAATAAATATGTATCAAAATGGTACTTACAAGTATAAAAAGTGATATTTATACCTAAATATAATACGAATAAATAATATTTTTTATATTTTCATCTTTCCAAAATATCAAATGTGGTCCATTAGCGTAATAATACAGTATTGTTTAGTGTGTGAACTGTGAACTGTGAACTGTGAGGAAATTGTTTAGTGTGTGAACCGTGAATGCTTGGGGATGCTTTTTGGTGGACACGTGGATTGTTGTGTACGGTTGATAGTCTAGTGCGAGATTAGGTGGGAGTTAGTGATTCTCGTGAATGAAAAAAAAAAAAACACATGTCAATCATTCATTATTACCATTTTTTTTTCTTTTGCACAGCAAACATATACAACTGTACTAACTCTCATCTGATGTTTAAGGATTGAAACAAATCAATTATATGATTTCTATCAAACAAAAATGGTAGTTAATATTCACACTTTTATTTTTTAATTAGATGTTCTATCACATTATTGTTCATAATTTATAAATAAGATAACCATTTAGTTATAACCTCTAAATTAGTTATTTCATTCATGGATATATTATACTTATTATATTATAGTACATGTTTCAATTGTTTTTATATATGTAATATTATTATTTATTATTATTATTTTGGTGTATATGTGCTTGTTAGAGTATTCAAAATGTGTTCATCATTTAAATAAATATAAAAAAATGAGTGGATTTATATCTCCAAACCAAAATTATAGTACATCTTTCAATTGAATAAATCCTTTAATATAATATATTTAATTTATAACATGTAATCCATGTGATAAAAAGAGGTGAAATTAAGCTGGTCTATTCAAGAGCTCGAGCTTGTTTCTAAAATCTAAATGGTTGCAAATACTCTTATATAATTGAATAAAATAATCTCAATCCATATTATTGTTTTTATCTTTTTCTTGGGACAAATTCTTATAATGATTCACCTCACCTGAAAAGAATGTTTCCATAAGGTCATGTGCAGCAGGCTAGCTAAAGCCTAATTTTGGCGAAAGAGTAGTCTTTTGACCGTGCAGCGAGCTAGCTTAAAAATGGGGGACCCCCTCTGCCTCGGGAGCCGGCCCACAGAATACCGCTAGCCGGCCCGCGATCATGATATTTTTTCTTTTGTTTTTTTCTTTTGCAAAACGGCCCTGTTTTGCCTGAGCCTTGTTTTGCTTTTTTCTCAAACGGTCCTGAATAGTGCTGAACAGGCATTGTTCGGCAAAATGTTTTTTTTTTAAAACTTAAAAATAGGTTATTTTGAGCTCTTTTTAAAAATAAATAAATAAATAAAATTCATTAAATAAAAATATATTGTTCAGGCACTATTTGTCGAAAAAAAAAATTATTTGGGCTAAAAATAAATTTAAAAACCTTTTTTTCCCCTTGAAATTTGGTTTTTTTTTTTAAAAAAAAAATTTGCTTTAAATTTTAAATGTGTACCACAAATAGTGTATTTGGCCGTTAAGGTACTATTTTGCTATAATTTTAAAATAAAAAATAATAAAAATAAAAAAGTTTAAAAATTCAATTTTTTTTTAACTTTATTCAAAAAAAATTAAATTTTTAAATCACTTATCTTCTATAAATACCCCAATTCCTACCATCATTCATCATATCTAACTCATCTCTGTTATCTACCATTTAACTTATTTCTTCTTTTATTTTCTCAATCTTAACTATTATTTTCAAACTCATTTCGATTCCATGAATTCTCGACATCCATTTTATTATAATACCCAATTCAACCCATCAAACGATGAGTTTTTGCCATTTCCTGAAAACAATATCAATTATTATGAAAGATGTTCTCAATTTCCCTCTCATCAACCATCCCAAACTTCTCATCAATATTGTGGTACTAGTGTTCCACAATCAAGTAACTTAAAACCCCCGCCAAAACAACCGGCTATTCGAAATAATAATTGGACCAAGGCTGAAAATGAAGCTTTATGTTGGGCATGGATGTCCATTACCTCTAATGCGATTACGGGAACAGACCAAAGTAAGAAGAAGTTATGAAAGCGAATCCTGGAACAATATGTACAACATATTGGTGTTCCTCCAATTGAGCGAAATGATGGAGGTTAAGGGTGGCAATTAGGGTTCGCATGTCATAATTGTGTCGTGTCGACCTAGGAGTATAACACTAAACATGTCAACCCAAACACGACACGATTAATAAATCGTGTCACATATCCTAAACCCAAACACGACTTGTTTATTAAACGGGTAACACGACACGACACAACACGACACATGTATCCCGTTTAATAAACGAGTCGTGTTAGACACACAAAACATGACCTGTTTAAAAACTTATTTAACATGTTTACCCGCTTAACATGTTTAACATTTTTAAGGTGTTTACCCTCTTAACCTGTTTAAGGTGGCCAAAGATTAAAATACAACAAATAAAATACTAGCACACATTGCTATAAATTTTGTACGAGATTAAAAGCAAAAGATAAGTCATAAGTTATTTATTATTACAAACCCAAATAAAAAAGTTTAATAGAAATGTCTTAAAGAAACTGAGTCTTGAAGGCCTGGATTTTAATATTCGCTCACATTAACACTGGTGAAACATTGGCCTTCAGCAGGGTCATCATTGTTAATATTTAGTTTCATCACATCATCAATTAAGTCACTCATTTGAAACTTCATTGTATCTATATTAAAACATAGACAAACAATTTATTAGTTCGTTATTAAATTAAATTAATGAAACAACACAAATAAGTTAATCACCAAAAGAATAAACATTTTGTTTTACTTCAAGGGTTCCTCAGGAAAAAAAATGCTTGCAATTGTCATCGACAATCAGGTCTCAAAGATTCATGTCATCACATGAGCCCCAATCTCAAAAAAAAATTACTAGAATTTTTCAAAAAAAAATTCGAAAGGAACAGAGTTGCTAACTTATAGACACTATGGAACAACCTATTTTTGGGAAGGTGTTACACTTCTATCATTATATAAACAAATATAGAAAGCAAATATAATAAGTGCTGAAGTGCGTGATTTTCGTCTTCATGTAACACAAGTTCTTTTTTCTTTTTTGTCTCGGTTAGGCTTGATTGAATCTGATCGATCTATGACCTACAGAAAATGAAAGAGAAAAAAAAAAAAAAAAAATAGAGAAAACTTATTTCAAAGTAGATCTGAAAGAGTGAGGACAAAAAAATTCGAACGAGTGTTGTTTCAAAGTAGATCTGAAAGAGGAAAGACAAAAAAATTAGAGAAAACTTGTTTAAAAGTAGATTTGAAAGAGGAAAGACAAAAAAAAAAAAATCGAATGTGTTGTTTCAAAGTAGATCTGAAAGAAGAAAGACAAAAAAATTAGAGAAAACTTACTTCGATTGTTCGTAGTTTTTGTTCTTTGAATCTTCTTCTGGTCACTTGAAGTGTAGTTAGTAGTGATCTTGGTCGCTCGAAGTATGGTGTGGGATTTGAGAGATTAATTTGAGAGAGAAAGGGAGTTGTTTACTGGTTAGGGACGCGAGAGAGAAAGGAAAGAGGAGAGAGAGACTGAAGAGGAGAGAATATCTGAAGTCTGAACAAGAGACGCTGCGTGCATAATGACTAAAGGCTAAAGTATATAGTTTGTATATTAGGGTTTTTTTTATGTAAATATGAAATGGCCAAAATGTCCCCTACTAATCAGGTCGAAATAGGTAACGGGTTCACAGGTGACACATTTAATTAAACGGGTTATACGGGTTGAGCCCCAAAACCCGAACACGACACGTTTAACTAAACTGGTTAATCGTGTCACCCGTTGTGATACCCCCGGATTTTCGAATGCGGGTTGGCCAGGCCCACGCCCGAATACCCGAGGATATCAAAACAAATTGATAATAAACGAACACAGAGTACAAAAGAATAAAGAAGAGTAAATAAAATGCTGACAAGAAACTAAAATGATAATCTAATAATAAACCTCAGAATATATTTCCATTAATTAATAAACTCTTCTGATACAACTGATCCTCCAAAATACAACTCGGAAATCCATACTGTGTGGACCCCTAGAAAATCCAAACTAAACAAATGACAGCAATAATTATCTAAATCAGGAAACTGAATCATAAAGGAACTCCTATGTAGCATCGGAAGAATGAAATAGACTGATCCCTACTCAGCACGAACAACCTCTACTCCTGACGAACACCTGAAAAATAATGGTGGGTCAGGCCCACAAACAAGTTCTACTCTACTACAGTCCAAGCAGAGATCCGATACACGTATACATCCTAGTCAATCCAACCGTAACTAGTAGTCCGTATATATATATATACACACACTAAAGGAACCTCACTAGACTATAGGGTTGTCTCAACCTGAATAGTAGGCAACATGCAAAACGCACATATAGTGGGCATGAATACCTAGACCTACCAGGGTATACAACTACACTATATCTAGCTACACATCCCTGGCGATATGCGCACCCTAACCACTGATCCTGAGACTCAAGCTCATATCATGGCACCATACTTATATATATAAAATCTAGTAACCATCCTATCCGGTATAAATTAATTCTCCATAAGTCATTCAACTTGTTCAGCTGACCTGAATTGAATATAAGTAGGACTTAACATTTTAGTTAATTCATTCCCTTATATAATAAATTAATAATCCATAAGTCATTCAATTTGTTCAGCTGACCTGACTTGAATATAAGTAGGACTTAACATTTTAGTTAATCTATTCCCTTATATAAAATAGGTAGGACTTAACTGATAAGTTAATCCATTCCTAGAATGTGTGATACCCCTCGGATCCGAGACACGGGTTGATCAGGCCCTGGGCCCAAACCCGAGGGAATATCAAACAATTAATATTTTATAATGAACACGGAATACAAAATAAATTAAGAAATGAAATTAAAGCTGGAAGGAACTAAAAATAGAATCCGCAAAATATTATAATTATTAAAATCCATCAAACCCAAACTCCAAAACTCCATCAGTTTACAACTTGGGAATCCATCTCTAGTGGACCCCTATTAAACATCCAAAAGGAATGATAGAACAACTGTAATAAACGTCCAGAAATAAAACTATAGAGAGAGCCCTACATCGTCGGAAGAGTGAATAGAGACCTCTACTCAGCACGAACACGTCTAAGCCTGGAACTGTCATGTACCTGAAAAAATAGAAGTGGGTCAGGCCCACGTGCAAGTTCTATGCTACTACAATCCAAACAGAGGCCCGATACGCATGCACATCCTAAACAATTCAACAATAGCTGATAGTCCGTAAATATATATATAGTCACACTAAAGGACTCTCACTGGACTACAGGGCGGTCTCAACCTGAATAGAGGTAACATGCTAAAACGCACACGAAGTGGGCATATGTACCTATACCTAAACAGGGTACACCTCCAACCATCGTAGCCAGCTACACATCCCGATGCATATACGCTCCCTAGCCATCGGTCCTGAGGCTCAAGCTCATACCGAGGCACCATAACAGTACATATATAAAATCCATCCAAAATCCCTAGTATTGCCGCTCAACAAGTAGTTGCCATGACAATACAAATCCGCGGGACTTAACTTTAGTTAATCCCATCCTTATTCCAAGTAGGTGGGTAATGGTATTGTTTTAAAAACCAAACCCATCCTTAGTATGCCACCGTCTCATACCGGTGCCTACTTTCCAATCCTCCAGTAGTCAATAATACCAATAAATCAAGTATATATCAACTAAATTCCAACATCCAACATTCAATGTTAGCAGTGATAAAATCAGCATTGATAAACAGGGTCACAACAACAACATATACATGCCCAATTTAAGTTGTTCCCTTTAGTCTGATATAAAGACATAATTAATTAAAACTTCCATTTAACACCTTACAAATGACATACAGATATGTAGGGTATGTATCACAAAATCCTAACCTCCACAGTTGATACTAACTGTGATAATGTAAGCATCAAAACAATATTCACAGTATGTATGTAGACATGTTCAAATTATAGTGTTCCACAAAACCGATCTAGTGTTAAACTCAAATCCTCCTAGTATTTAAGTTCCAACAGTTGCTATTACAGAAGTTACGATAGCTATCATCTAGACCCATCCTTCCAATAATTTATACTAGCAGTGGTAAGGAAAAACGTGAACCACAGAACCACAATGCATCCACAAACATGCTTAGTCTAGGTTGAACAAGCATACAACACTACTGTAACTACCAGTTTCATAGCAAAACAGATATCATTTTAGTTTGGTTTAATCTTCATTAATCCTTGAATCATTTAAGAGTGCAAAGAGTATGAAGCCTAAGGGAAAGAGTAAGGTTAGAATCTTGCCTCAGAAACTTTTGTTCAAAGTTTCAATGTCGTCTTCTTAAAAAATCCCGGCGAGTTCCAAAACCCGGTTACTGTTCACGGGTACAAAACACTATTTCTGAACTCAAAATCTGATCTTCACCGTTTAGATTATGAGACACTGAGTCATGAACCTATCCTCCAAATTTCAGCTCGATCGGACCACGGATGAAGCAAGATTGGATGTTTGATGAAATCTGGGTAGAATGGAAAAAAACCTGTGCGACACAGTTACTGTTCATGAGTATGAATCACTGTTCTCGAGGTCAAACTCTGATCTTCACCGTTCAGATTGTGCATCACTGAGTTGTGGACCTATCCTCCAAATTTCAGCTCGATCGGACTACGGACGAAGTGGGATCGGATGTTTGATGAAATCTGGGCAGAATGGAAAAAAACCTGTGCGACCCAGTTATTGTTCACGAGTACAAATCATTGTTCCCGAGGTCAAACTCTGATCTCCACCGTTCAGATTGTGCGTCACTGAGTCGTGAACCTTTCCTCCAAAATTCAGCTCGATCGGATTACGGACGAAGCGGGATCGGAGCTTTGATTAAACCTTGGCAGAATGTGAAAAACTGCGTTTTTCCTTCTCCACTTTCACAAAACGTGTGCTTTGTTTAAAAAAACCCTGCACAGACGTCTACCTTATACTTATAGAGTTTTCCTAAACCCTAGGTTCATTTAAGTCCAACTCACAATCCTAACCGGCCCATCCAATCAACGTATAAACCTACGACGACTATAATATAAAACCCTAATTTATACTGTAATTAAAATCCTAGTTAGATGTATTTACCTAATTACCCTATTCACCATTAAATACTTAACAAATAATCTAATTGAACAAAATAATAATTAGTAAACCCAATTAAACCAAATAAGACACACATAAAATAAGACACACATAGAATAATTAAACCAATTACACTTAAACCATTAATGCCAATTAAATAATTAAAACAATAACAAGTAATTCCAATCAAATAATTAAAAATAAATATCATTTAAATAAATTAAATCACCACAAAATAAAACAATTAAGCACCTAATAAAAAAAAATAATGACACAGAATCAAATGAAATGCACTTAATTAATAAATTAAATACCATTAAATACCAGGAATATCCTTTTTAAAATTAGGGGTATTATAGAATGCCACCGTCCCATACCGGTGCATTAAATCACACAATTCAACAATTGATGTAACGATTAAGGAAATACATTAAACAATCCAGAAATAACTATGATAATATGATATCAAGTTATCACAAAATAGGAATAACTTATTATTTATTTAAGTTTCCTATATCATATGTCTTACATAAACTGAATCTTATACATATGATGATATTTTATTATACCATCAAATAAGCATTCTCCATATCCAATTCATCCTACACATTTACTCTCAATTGTTAAAACATATTAAAAGATTAAATTCATTCGTTTGTTTAAAACATTCAAATAGCAAACATTATTATGATTGAGTCTATTTAAATT